TGATGATTTAATTTTGACGTCCTTGTTGTAACGTGTTTCTAACCATATCGTCATGATGAACAAAAGAATAGTAGAAATTTACCATCGATTAGTTTTACACTTTGTAATCCGGACCAAAAATACATTAATTAACTCATGAGTGCAAGTATTTTACTATAAACTATCCATTTTTCGTCATCATTAATTAAACAGTATATGTTAAAGAAAATGACTGATCATAAATATTCAGAGATTTAAAAACATTAAGATCTAACCATATGTTTCTGTTAGGATTTAGAGGCTCAACGTCGACAACTTTAGGAGCATAAATCACCGCACAAACCAAGCTATGAAGTTGTTGATGTCACAAACAAGACTAGCTTAGAAACAGAGAGTTACACAAGCATAACAAAACCCTCCTGTTTTATTTGTTTACCACTCGCTGCAGGATTGTCATGCCTGTCATCTGGGGTACTATCACCATTCTGTTGACGCCCATGGGAGTTCTCTCCTGCGCGCGGGGAGGGCAGAAGAACTTGACTGTCCCTCTGTATGTGGGTGATGGACCGGGGGGCAATCACACGCCTCCATCCTCACTGAATGCATAGCAAAGTTCAGAAACAACGATTCATCCTGGTGTTCTCTCCTAATCAATTTCTCTCCCTCTTCGTCCGGTCTGCATCACAAAAGAGAATTCCATGCATAAAGACTTCTCACTGAAATTTGTACATTGTAAAATCAATGAAATAATTAAAAGACGCACCCAGGGCTCAAGACAAGAGTCTGCCCAACTCGCTGAACTGCTATGGAGACCCGAGATTTTGAGAAAGGCATCTTATCACTCCAGCGAAAATCTGTTAGCAGAGGAGGCTGATTAAGATCTGTCTCCAGCGGAAGCAAGCGGTACCTTGGAGCACTCATTCTACAATCCCAACTACAGCGAAAACAAAAGCTTTTCGGAGCAATTGAATGGAAGGGAGGGGTTTCAATCACTGCCTTCTCTTCATCCTGGCTTCCATATATTGGAGATAACTTGGGAAGCAAGACGACGTGTAGCTTGCGGACCAAGTGTTGTGGGGCATTAAAGCCCATCTATGAAGTAAAGCCCGTGAAGTCTAAATGGAAGAAATCTCTAGATATATATTCTCCGTTATGTATTAGGAAAGTTTACATTATGTCGGTGTTAGCATTATGTTAAACACTATATATATGTATTTTGTGATCTCATATCGAAGAACTCAATACAATATTCTATTCTATAATATTTGACACCATATCTGTTAACAACAAATTATCAAAGACTAGAAACGAAAGCAGTATAACAGAGTCGAAAGAGCAATGAGCAATAGAGCTTACCTGGTTATCTCCGTGGGAACACTCCTTGTTCGACTTGTTAATTCCTCAGGAAGTCTCATATATTCTTCAATAGTTTCTGAAAAAAAAAACTGAACGGCTCTCTCCACAAATGAAGCTATGCCATCGAATGACAGCAGTTAAGCTGGCACCTTCTTCTACCACCATCCACAAACTCCAGCTCCTCTTTGTCCGCATGGTCCAGGAAGTAGAAAATCTTTGGAAAGTTTTGCTCCATTGCTTGATCTGAGAAACGGAGAAGCAGAGATTACAAAAATCAGATCAAAACAAATGATTCAAGAAAAGAAAAAAAACGAAATCTCGTACAAGGTTGTAGTACTAAAATTTCAAAAACCAAAAACCTCGTCAGGCATAGATCAATCGATACTAACACCAAAATTCTAACTAGCTTATTGATTTCCTTTTCCAGGGAGTGAGTTCTTCGAATAGCTTATTGGTTTCCTTTTGATCCCGTTGGTTCCTAGTTGAGGAGAAAAAGTGTTTATGATTCGATCAAAATCAGAAAAAAAAATTACCTTACAATTTCTTCAGGAAAGCTTCTTCGGTCGGTCGTTTCCTGTCTACTGTTTGCTGAGAAAATGCGTTTCCTGTTTCCTGAGAAAATTAGCGTTTCCTGAGAAAGAGAAGATGACGAAGTCAGGAAAAAAAATTCTCAGAGAAACAGAGGAAAACTCACTGTCCCGTAGAGAGAGAAGAAAATCAGTTTCTGAATTATTCATACAAAGAAGAAATCGAGGCGTGAAGTTGTTTAAGCTTCTTTGGTGATTTTATGGAG